AATTATAGTTGTTATAACCATAAAATAGTTGAAATTACCATAAAAATGGTTCAAGCGACTGTTATTAACTGTTATTATAGTAATAATAATCATAATTATAGTAATATATAATTATAGTTACAAATACCAAACATTTTTCTCTCTGTGTACTTTCCTATTAATGGTCCGTCTTTTATTTAAATTTCAACTCGTTCATGGGAGAACAGAATTATGTCGTTCATATAAGTATATCATAAGGCAGTAGTTCTATATCTAATAATCGTGAATAGCGGTAATTTCCAATAACGGCTTGGAATTAGGCGGAACGAATTATGCAAGTGTGACCGGCTCTAACGATCGGCCAGTAAATTCCGTTAAAACTAGCGAAACGCCATTTCTGTTGGTCTGCCAGCTCTTATAACTGTCATAATGTCTTGCACGTGTTTCGTGTCCGCATCGTAGTCCCGCTATTCCTGCTGAGTCTCTCTTACGTGGAACGTTATATAACGCGTTTATTTTTATCATCATTTATCGTGGAAGATATAAGAGCGAGATACTTCCTTTGCAAAAATTTGAATCTTCTTATCACGCTTTGCATTGCGTGTGTATTATAGGTGCTCGTGTTTAAGACGCGTTTGCACTTCCTTTGAACTCTTCCAAGTTACGTTCGAAGAAGAGATGCACATTGAGTAAGTTAATATATGTGCAAGTACCTACAATTTCACACAAAGAATGCACGGAGCGCAACGAGCGTAAACATGTACGTGAGTACATCCCTATGGTGCCAAGAACCAGAGATGTGCGAATTATTCGAATACGAACTATTCGAAAATTTCGAATCTATGCCTGATATTCGTAGTCGGTTCTTATTTTAAGACTATTTTAAGAAATATTTTAAGATGCGGCTCTCTTATTGGTTCATACATCTTAAGATTAAACTTAAGACAATCTCAAATATAAGAATCGAATATGGATACCGACCTAAGATGTTTGAATATAAGAATCAAATATATATATTGAAAATCTTATACATACATATAGGGATGTACCAGATATCCGGAAAGTATCCTGTATCAGGTATTATCCGGCATTTTTAACTATCCGACCGAATAGTCGGATATCATTAGTATCCGGGAATATATCCGGTTGAAATTTGATATCATTAAATTATTGATTCTTTATTATACAAATGTTTTAAAAATAAATATGCATATTCATAATGCTATATCTTATACGTTGTTGCAAAATTACAATTTTTTCTCTATAGACTTTTTTTTAAGACATTTTCTCGGAGTCCGAATGGATATCCGGAAAATGTCGGATATCCGACTCGAAGAAATTGCCTTCTTGGATATCTGACCGGATATCCGATATCCGGTATCCGATAATTTTACGATCCGGTGCATCTCTATATGCATATACATACATATATACGCACAGACATACATACATATATGGTATACATATATATATAGGGTGTTAGTTAAGTATGTTGCCATACTCAACAGAGCGATTCTTTGGTTTATTTCAAGTAAAAAAGTCCATATAAACATGTGTCCTAAACGGCTTAGTTTCCGAAATAAAAACATTTTAACGTATAGTAATAATCTGTTTATTTGAAAGAAATACAGCTTGAACTAGTCAAAAACTAGTCAAAAACAGAAAAAAAAAACAGGCTTCAATTCTTTTGATGAAATAAAACAATAATTAGATGAATTGTTAAAAACGTATGTACAAGCTAACTGACTCGCAGCAACATCAGAACTGAAGTCTATTTTTGATTTTGTAACTTTGACTTTGACTTCGTCACTTTGTTTACGGTTGTGTGAATGGTAACTCACGTGAAGCAAGACATATTTATGCAGGAAGATATCTCCAACGCAATTTACCGTTTCGTCAAACATTTGCGAACATTCACCTGTATTTCGAAAACTAAGCCGTTTAGGACACATGTTTATATGGACTTTTTTACTTGAAATAAACCAAAGAATCGCTTTGTTGAGTATGGCAACATACCTAACACCCTGTATATATATGTGTATATTCTTATATTAATAAATTAAACAATATAGACATATGTTAAGTCGGACAGTCGTCCGGGTGCACTGCACCCGTTGCACCCCAGCTTGAAACGGCCCTGCTGGAAAGCACACTTATTTAGGTGTTGCCACTTTCCTCTATTACTCATATCAGTCTCATATACTGAAGATGAAATGTCATAACTAATGCAAGGTCTTCGACCTTCAAGGACATTTTGTATTATAGATGCCGGAGGATCGTAAGAGCACATCTAAATCTAGAAACATTGCCATGTTATCCCATCTGGTGTTTCAATCTTTAACAGAGATTTACTAGCATTTTAAAAGAAAAAAAAAATTTTAATGAGATAATCGCGAGAAAGAGCCATGAGTAATAATAAGCGATTCGCGCGACGAATTCCGTTACGCAAAAACGTTACGTATACAGTCGAGACGCGCAAGGTTATATTTGACAAGGCTGTAACCATCACAGTCCATCAATATACATCACACAATGTACGTTCCGTTATTCAGGCTATATCTCCGAATATTTCGTTAAAATGTGAAAGCCATTTTTGTGCTTGTTGCACACGCTATATTTACTAGGATTGAAAAGTAAGACATTATAACTTGTAATAAAATACAGTTAGAGTTACTTTTTTCAATAATTGTAATTTAATTTCGTTCTTCTTCTCCCATCTGTAACAGTAATTTAACTTATAATAAGCCTCCCTATCGGGCGTTAAAATCAAGAAAGTATACGTGCGAAAGGTCGATTACTTTCTATAATCGTTTACTTCCAAACCGTTATACTTCGTTACCACAAGCATCCCATCTCGAATCATTGTCATCAAGCGTATTGTGCCGTCATTAGAAAGTGCACATCGTGTGGAAAGCGTCCACTTTTATCTGATTATCCGGCAATTTGGTTTTACGAGGAGGAAATGCAAGTGTGCGATTTTTCCACGAGAGAAATTTCGTGATGTGTTTGAAATCAAGCGAGGCAGAAAGAAAAACAAGAGGATGAAATAGATATGTAAGAGATATCACGAATTTCTTCCGATTCCGCATACACAAGATCAACGTCTAATTGATTAGCCTTAATTAGTTGTCGCCCGTCGCTGAGACAATTAGAAAGTAAGTCTTGTAGTTTGTGGATACTCACACGTCGGTAGTTGTTGAAATATCTGGGCTGCGTGTGTGCTGCTATCGCTGTGCCTCATTACTGTGATCTGAAAATAAGGGAAAGGTGATGTTTTAGATTTTCTCGCTTAGTAAGATAGGATTGTTAGCGTTGACTTAGCTGCGCTATCACTTTGTGTTAGCCGTTGGCGGTGAGCGTATCGCACGAATGTAATTATAGAATAGCGCAACGCACATGGTATTGTAATACAACTGTAACACGCGTGGCGCAAGAACTTAAAATATCTAACGTTTAAGTAAGAACTCATGCTTATAAGCTTCAGAAAGTTCACTCAAACCAGTCTTGTAAGAGGCCTTTTACCATTAAAAGTCTAATATAAAGAAGGCTATATCTGAGAATGTTTTAAAATAAAATCTATGAGACACGGATTTTCATAGAATTTCAAAAGTTATTATTCTCTCTAAGTCTGTAAAGTGAAAATTGAGCCAGTCTTGAAAAAAATAAAAACTTTTTATTCTTGAACAAGAATGGTAGATTTTCACTCTTTTGGAGTAAGATTTCATTCTTTTGGAGTAAGATTTCACTCTTTTAAAGTAAGATTCACTCCAAAGGAATGAAATCCTATTCCTTTTTTGGAATGAGACTTCCTTCCTTAGCGTGACTTGCACTGCAAAAGAGTAAAATCTTAATCCAAAAGAATGAAATCTCATTCCTAAAGAGTGAAAAATTACCATTCTTGTTCAAGGGACTTGTTCAAAAATATTTTCACTTTTTTTTCAAGACTGGTTCAGTTCTCAATCTTTTGTGGAGTGAGATTTCACACTCCAAAATTCTGAAAAAATAGCGGACTTGAAAGCTGGTGTAAGGGTGCGTTCCGAGCATGAAGTACATATTGCATCATTTTATCCTTCTTTGTTATTTGGTAAACAACAAGAACAAATGATGCATCACGCATTTCATGCGTAACTCGGAACGAACCTTAAGTTTAATTGTTTACCTCACCCGATGAAAATTCCCTGCTTTACTACTCTCAATCAAATCCAGAGATAACGGCGAGGATGTAACCTAACCTAACTTTTATGTATCAATTAGCATAAGAAATTTTTGCATATTACATCCTATTCATGATAACTTCTAAAGTGATACACGAAAATTCGACTTACAAAAGGGGACACGAAACAACATCTAAAAAAATCTATTTTCCCCGAATTTCTGGATATAACTATTTTTACTGTTTCATGTGAGTCTTAAATAACTTTTTGTAGTTTATTAAGGGGATGCTGGATCGACGACCGAACTTGATCGAGATCGATAGTACAGACTTTTTTTAATTCCAAATTCGATAATAGTAACATCTTTCATTCGTTTCTTATACTTGTTATATATCGTTGTGTCTCGCTCAAACGCATTCATTTGTCCTTATCTAACATATTGCAACGCCATCTCTTAGAAGATCGAACACCTACTGCTAGACACAATTATTGCTTTGTTTACCATTCCGAGTCTTCGCTCAGCGTTTGTACACACGTCGTTTGCAGATCGATATAAATCTTTCTTTTGAAGTTTTTAATCTTAGTTTCATAAACTCAGTATTGTTTGTGCACGTAATGTGCTGAGTGCTGCACTATCGTTAGCTCCATACGAGCTATAACACTTTTGTATTAAGGAAACATCTACGTCAGGTGACAGCTCTACGAGTTGAAAAAATGTAAGTTTTTAACTTTTTTCACGATTTTAGTATAAAGTCTAATGCAGCACCCCTAAATTTTGTGTCTATTTTAAGCCTGTAAAAGGATTTTTGATTCCGTTTAATAAATTCGGAGATTTATATCGATCTGCAAAATCCTGTACTGATAATTTGACCACTCCAGCATTCTCTTAAGGGTCCGCAAGGAGGACAGAAATCAGACTTTTTAACATCCTCTTTTCACGACAAAAGTGCCTGCGGCGAATGCTGACGTCAATATTAACATCGGCGCTTGTTCGTGCAATGAAAGTGGTCTAACAAGTCACCAACCACTCAAGTGTATACATACTTGGAACAACGTGTCCCCTGCATTTCTCTCTCTCTCTCTCTCTCTCTCTCTCTATCTTCCCCCTTCTTTCCTGGCACCCTCTCTCATGGACTGTATTTGCGACTATATGTATTTAAAGCGCTAAAGTGAAAGCGATAGCAAGGGCACTATGTTTGACGGCTGGCCAACCATTATTGCAGAGTACTGTATCTCATTAATTTTACGAACATACGTGGCAAGGTAATCATCGTGAGATCATTATTGCCCGATACGTCATACAATTAGAAATCGAAATGCAATGGACATCCAAACGCAAAACGAAGAACCGGAGGTATTTCGATTAAATGCGCGGAGCTATTCGCCAGCAGCAAGACCGGACCATATAAGGTTCGCAACATTCCGATAGAATCCATTGAGGATTGATCTTTCATGTCACTCCGTTTGCAAAACACGCATTTTCGCTTATAATAAACCAAAGAGAAAAAAACTAAAGAACTTGTTCGCTAAATCTTCGAGATTAATAATAACTAATTGCTGATTTTCTTATTACTTACGACTAATAACAACAATCATTCACTTGACGTAAGATTTTTGCTAATAATATAATGTATACCTATTAGTAACTAAAATTAGCACTGATGTCATCTGAGATAATTTTCCTTAGAAAAATGATTTGTCATGCTTTACGTTAAAATATAAAGGAGAATTTTGCTAATAGTACAATTTAATCAACTAAAATTAGCTTCGATATCGCCATTGAAAGTAACCTTCAATTATTACATATTTAATTAGTACACAAATTTAATAATAATAATAATACAACGCGCGTGCGTGTTAACTAAAATCGACGTCGCATCATTAACGATCTTTGAAGGTCAATAGAAAATTAAAGTGGCGGGAAATAGGACGATTGACAGCCACGATCTAACGCAGATCTAACATAGATCGAGATCTCCTTGAAAAGCTTGAGATCGCCGCCCATTACTACCTCCTTCGCTGTTGCAGACACACTCCGCCATTCTTGTTTATAGTTAGTCACTCTTGTATGCAATCCTTACGCGGCGCGCGCCCCCGTGATATCGCGATATAACGCCGCGAGCAAAATCGCGATTATGTCCCGACGGGACATTTAAGTATTTAACGTAGACATAAAGCTAGAAAAGGATTTCCAGAAAGACTGTTGTTACGCGTAAGCGAAGAAAATTACGTTCGACTTACGGGGATCCTAAAATCATCTGTATTACCGATTAAACACAGTAATCTTTGTATAACAATTACTTTTTTTCTCTTTTACAGATTTGAAATCCTTTTCCAGAATCAAAGTATATACGCATTAATACGTGTCTGTGAGGTGGAGTTTATATCAAGTACGAAAAAAAATTGTTTAAATTGAAATCTTTACAATTTCTTACTCCAATATGACATCAGAGCTGTCAACATCGTAACTAATATTTGCTTTATATAAAAGCTTTGCGATTTGTACTTACGAAATTGTGATCCACAGACTAGTAGTTCACATGAAAAGACCACTTGGAGTTCTTAGAATTAGACTTATTGTTAGAGACGTCTAATTAAAATGTTATTGTTCTACGAAAATGTATGTGTGCCAGAGATATTGATGCAGTAGTATATAAAGATGTGTCGTATTTTATCGGTAAAATAGCGATCTTGTCGGAATTCAAGCTTCTCTTTAAGATCCCTTTAATTGCGATGATTTCCGAAACCACGAGCGCTCACGCGAGTCTTCCGAATATGATCATATCGACATCGATTGTATTATATACCACGCGATTTCATTAATCTCTAACCGGAAAAGATGATTCCGTCAGCGAATCCTTGGCGTAGACGAATAAAATCGTATCAGATTTGAACTTTGCGTCGCAATATCTCCGCTCATAGGGCACGTAGAAAAAAAATAAAAACACTTTCATTATATATTCTGAGCGGGTGCAATCGATTGAGCACACTTAGAACTCGATCGGAACAGCCATTATTAAGATTCCATAATCGCGGTCTGGTTACTATATTGTTTACCTATGCTGTCTTTCAATGCTACTATAAAAAATATATAGTATATTGCGTTATATGTACAAATTTTGAATGGCTTTCATTGTAAGTAATAAATTTCTTCCTCATCTCTCTCTTTCTCTTTTGTATTTATATAAAATAAAAATTGCTAATTTATTCTTGTTCTCTATTTTAATCATTTTCTACACTTTCATTTTCGATACTATTTCCGCTATAATTAAAGAACTTCCGTAAGTGATATCAACACGGTAGTGTCGCTACGCTTGGTTTAGCGCCGAGACACTACCGTATCTCCTGATACCTGATATAAAGAAAGAGAAAAAGACACAAACATCAATCGAACATACTCCTCCGTTGACAATTTAAAAAACTAAGCAACGATACGCACCGATGCGCGATTAGAGAGAGAAAAGTACTCGTATTCCGTTGCCATATGTCTCAAAATTGCTCGAAAGCCGTCCGACAGCTTTCTTGAAAAACTTACCTATTTGTTAAATTTTTAATTGACGAACGCGTTGATCGAGTATTAAGAATGCGGCTGTTTAATGCTTATGCGGTTCCATAACCATTCAGACACCTTTTTTGGAATGTCATGCGCCAACAAAGAGTTATATAATGCGCCACATATTTAAGCAGCACGCGTATATACCACACGGCACACACAATAGAAAGTATGTGTACATTACAGATACCCTTAATCCACGCCTAAGGTAAATGTCCCAGTGACCAGACATATGGTATATCCATGTCCGGACACCTATCATCCGGACCAGGTCGGTATTCATAGTTCTTATTTTAAGATATTACTTATCTTAAGTAATGTCTTAAGATGTTATTACGGTCCTCTGATTGATTCGTGATATCTTAAGACTGTACTAAAGACGATCTTGAATATAAAAATCGACTATGAATACTGACCTTACAGCCTGTTCCACGAAAAAATGTACGGCCTTAAGGGGATCCTAAAGCCGCCTGTATTACCGACTAAATCATACAATTTTTGTATAACAAATACTTTTTTTTCTCTTTCACAGATTCAAAAATCCTTTTCCAGGATTAAAGTATACGCATTAATACGTGTTTGTGAGGTGGAGTTTATGCCGAGAACGACCAAAAATTTCGAAATTGATATATTTTTTATCATTCCTTAGTGTAACATGGCGTCTCAAGCTGTCAAGTCGTGACAACATTTGTTTGATACGAAAGTTTTGCAATCTGTACTTACGAAATAGTGATACACAAACACGTAGTTTGTACGAACAAATAACGTCGAGTTCTTAGAATTAGACTTAGACGCTTTATCGCGAAGAATTCGTTATACGAAAATTGACACGAATGTGCGACCGAATGTATCATAGGTTGCGTGAGATATTTGTGTGGTAGTATATACAGACATGTCGATGTGCTGGAAAAACAGCGACATCTAGTAATTTTATCGGAGTTCGAGTTTAAAATGATTGACGATAGCACCATCTCTTTTATAACAATGGAAAGCTTGAAGCGTGCTTCAAGCTTCCTTTTACGCAATATATGCTTTATTGTCATTTTAAGCGTTACTTTTTGTTGAAACTTTCGAAATGAATCCAAAGTATCTTAAGCGTTATGAGGTAGTGTTCTTAGTTTCGTACAAAAAAGGACATCAAAGTTGACATATGCTCGGGCTTCAAAATGTTTTGGTGGTACATGTTTACAATAGGGGAATTTAGTTCCGATGAATTTGATCTTGACATATGTTGTGTCAAGATTACGACTTTTTTTTATTAATAACTTTTTAACAAGTAACGAATACCAACTGAAACCTATTTGGAGGTCATTCAGGGTCACGACCTTGAACATATGTCAAGGTCATCGGAGCTAGGTCCCCTATTATAAACATTTACTCTGTAATGACAGAATTATTGATACATTATAGTCGTATAAAAATCTCCGAATTGACTGAACGAAAGGAAAAATCCTTTTATAGGATTAAAGTAGACGTGAAATTAGGAAGTGGGGAAGTGGACTTTATATTGAAATGGAAAAAAAAAATTAAAAATTCATATTTTTCAGTTCGTAGAGATGTCACCTGACGTAGACGGTTTCTTAATAGAAAAGTTCTATATTTTCTCTTAAGTTCATAAAAAAGAAAATGATATTGGATCACCCGTCGAATTACGTGAATAAACAGTATTGAGTTTATAGAGCTAAGATTAAAAGCTTAAAAATAATTTATATTGATTTACAAATCATGTGTATACGTGTGTGATTAGCAAAAACCCTCAGTATGGTAAACAGAGCAGTAACTGTGCCCAGTAGGTGATAGATTTTGCAAAAAATGGCGTTGCAATATGTTATAATAAGGATTGATGTATATGTACGTTTGAATGAGACAGAACGATGATGTAAGAAATGAATTAAATATGTCACTATTATCAATATTTGTAATTTAGAATTTAAAAAGTCTGTACTACAAACATCGAATCGGCTATTAACATTCCCTTAAAATGTCTCGTTCATTCAAGGTAAATTTTCTTGTGCGCAGCAAAAGAAACAATTTTTATGTTTACTCACCACTAGAAATGCCAGCACGATTCCTCTCCAGTCCATAGCTAAAATAAGAGAAAAAATTTAATTAATAACTAGGTCGAACTCGCATACACGCGTGTAAGATCAATCGCGCAAACATCGTCTACGCCGTGCAAGAGGCCAAATACGAAATTTTTCATTTCTTGTATATTCTTAAGTTATACACAAAACATATACCAAATATACTGAAAATATATATAAAATATCTTTACGGTATATCTTGTGACAAAATAAATATTATAAGATGCTCATTTGACGCATCATCCATTTGACATATACTTATTTCCGCTTTTTTCACTGAAGAATGTAAATTTCTTTCGACCTGTACGGTATTTTGATGAAACTTTACAAGAACAAATGTAAGTGTTTACTATATTAGAGAAAAAAATTCATTGACTTTTATATAACTCTAGAAAAGAATTTTCGAAGAGGAAAAAAATAATTGTTATATAAAAGTTATTGTGTTTAGGCCCGGTTGCACCAACGTTACTTTGACTTTAAGCGAGACTTAAAACTCTATCTGTCTCGTTTTAAAGCCGCAAGAGAAGGAGAGATAGAGAGAATTTTAAATTTTTCTGTCGGTAAAACAGAGGACTTTAGGATTCCCTTAAAACAGAGCTGGGATTTAGTTGCACATTTCGGCCGATTTTCAGCTTGGTTCCTGCCCCTCACTTTACCAACCCGCGCGGGTTGATAAAGTGAGGGGCAGGAACCAAGCTGAAAATCGGCCGAAATGTGCAACTAAATCCCAGCTCTGCCTTAAAACAACTGAATAGTTTCATTCTACGCTCCGGATTATTCTTTCTTTATTACAACATCGTTCTTTCTGTCAACCTTGAGCTCGTTTCCAATTGTATCCATGTATAGTATATCCTTTAGCTTTATATTAATTCTACTTAATCTATAGAAGACCTATGCAGAATACCTAGCATTCCTCCACTATCCTATAGGTCCTATCTTATAATTCAATTTGAAACATCAAGATAGCCTTGCATTCTTCCTTCACCCCATTTCATGAACAACAATTTAACTATTTGCGGCTGTACAAAAAAAAAAAAGAAAAATAATCGTGGTGTTTCTCCGCATCGTCTCCATGAGTGAGGGTTAAGGACAATCTCGGCGTTGAGATAACCGGTGAATGTTTTTAGGCAGGTTAGTATAATGGAGCTCCGTTTGGATGCAAGCACTCGCAGACCTCGTAGCCCGTCGAGAAAGCGACATGCTTGTTCGCGAAGGCGGTGGTGATCGTGGAGGTGGTGTCGGTGTCGGCGGCAATGCACGATGCAACATTCACTTTTTAATACGCCACGATAGACAGCGGCAGCAGCGGCGCACGGCGATGGAGCATAGTCGACCTCGACCACCATCGGACCACCATGGTTGGCTATGACCGTGTGGCCACCATTTTCGCACGCGCGCGCCAAGTCCTTTTTGATGGTTAACGCCATCAAAAGTGTGTATTGCGGCAAGCTTCGTGATTTACGAGACCACGCCGAGATTATTACCGAGATCGACATGTCGTGCAGATATGCCGTGGTCCCGCAGCTTCCACCTTTCTTACAGCATGGAGGAAGGGGCGATACTCATAGCGGTCAGATTTGTGATCGTAACCAGGGACGTGTCCCTAATTATTTTTAGAAAAGTTTATGGTAATATTTGTGTGCAGTTGCTCAAAGAAGCATCTCCGATCTTTATCTATCACTAAGTTATACGTTAAAAGTTACACTTTTAACATTCTTTTTTCTCTTATTTCGTCATTAACCTACCCTAGAATTTTACACACGTCAAGTTCGATACTTCAACATTATACGTATAAACAGATTAGACATTTCTGTGTGGTAATTCAATTTACTGAAGAACCACCTCAACAAGCCATCGGCATGGATTCCCGCTGTCCGATCGAGTTGAAATTTGGTTTTTTATTTTTTTGTGAATTGAAACCATTCTGAGGGGTACCGCGAAAAAAATTAAAAAGTCGAAAAATATGGATATGTACCTTATATATTATATCAATAGTTGTATATCAACAAGGTTGAATGACTTGAGTAACGAATGCGAACAGGTGTTCCGGCAACGGAAACAGTCGCGCAGGGGTGATTTAAAGTGCCGATTCGTATACAAAAAAGAAAACTAATCGAAAAATTCAAGAATAAGATCTACCGAGTAATTTACGTGGGAACAATTTCATACCCACAAATTTTCTTCTCTCTATTAAAAAAATTACGAAGAAAATAATAATTTACATATTTTTTTACTAGGGTTTGAGTAATTTCTAACAAAAATGTAAAATAAATCTAGTATATTTCCTCACCCTTATATTCACATTCTAATATTCTTATTATTTATGAACGTTATAATTCGAAATGGACCAAATAAATATTACTTAATAATAATTACAGTTCAAATAACAATATTGATAAATTATGTAATAATATAATTAAAAATCACAGTAAAAATGAAATGATTAACTAATGTATGAATAGTTTAAATGCCGGTATCTATACTGAAATATGATACCGGTACCAAGCGTTAAAATCATCGGAGACTTCGATGCCTGCACATACCAAAGCGCGTAAAACAAAGGAGAGTTCAATTTTGCAGCTTTATGACGACGATAATCCGCATGTTTTTTCTTCTTGTACCATTCTATAAATCAAATTTTTCTATAATAATTGGAAAAATGATACAAATTTTAAAACTCGACACTACAAATCGTGCACATTTAGAAAATAAATCAAATTTACAATTATTTTATTGTATACCACAGCCCACTCTAAGATTGCTCCCCATATTCATAATAATTTTGAAATATTCATCCGACACGGTCTTAATATTTGCATATTTGGTTAACGTCCGCCCACAACGCGATGAGCGCGATGAACAGCTAAGCGAAGCCTTGAGCTCATTCTCGTTGCATAATTCATTTAAAATGGTTATAAAATTAATATTATTCATTTGGTAATTAATTAATTATTACGTATCTTTCAGATTAGTTTACATAAAAATGCTATTAATATTTTCGCAAAAATACTTTTATTACGTCGGAGAATATGCTAAATTATCAAAATTATTATTGATCGATTCAAATAATAATTGTTTTAGGCTATTTCTGTTTGATTTTATAAAAATAATTTAATGTAAAATCGAAGAAATAGGTTTTAGATTTTAGAGACAGCAATTTATAATAAAAGAATAAAAGCCGTATAGTTTGAAGAGAAATAAAGGTTTAAAATGCTGCGTTTCAAACTTTTGAGAAAATATGTGCATCGGATTTGAAATTAAATTAGTAAATTGATAGAAACATAAAATTTATCCTAATAATTATTTCTTGAATACTTTATTGAATAGAGAATATTATTTTATATTTTGTATTTTAATTGTATTGTACCTACTAATTGAGAATCGCGAAAAAACCATTGCAGCATTGCAAGCGCCGGCCTTGAATATCCGCCAACGTAACCATCGCAAGAAATTGTTTACGTAAAGAAATAGCATCATCTTTTTGCAGTCAAGAAAACTGAGGTCTAATATTTATTTAAAATTATGCAATCGCAAAATACTTTCTAAAGATGCCTTTCTAAAGAGATCTACTTGTAAGATTAACAAAGTGAAAACGCGATGTAAAAATATTCTCTAAATCAATGAATTAAAATTTACGGAGGTTTAATATTTGGACGTTTCAATTTTTTCATTTTTTAAATGTATATTTTTATAATTACATAATTAAGTATCTAACAATACACATCGAACGAACGTACATGTTAATCGCACTAATATTACAAAGTGCATCATAATTTATTAAATTCATATAAGGTAACTCCATAACGCCTCGCCTACGCTGCAGAAATCAGAAAAAATAGAAGGAGTGGAAGTAATTGCATGCAACCACTCTGTGTTTTATATGTCTTTGTGTTATAATTTCAGTCTTTAACTGTTAATATTAATAAAATCACTATTAATTGAATCGACTTATCAATATTTATCAATATAGTAAGTAGCACAACCATATATCATAACTTACATAAGATAATTACTGTTAGGAGAGAGATTAACTTAATTTGGTGATACATAAGTGTAAAAAGATAGTAAAAAATGGCACATAGCAAAACACAAGTGATTAGTTCTTGTATTTTTTGTTCAGCTTGATGTATATCCTGTCTGTTTGGGATATACAAAACATCAAGCTGAACAAAAAATACAAGAACTAATCACTTTAGATATACGGCACTTTTAGCGAGCGGGATTTATGCCCAAAACATACAAAGTACAAATTAAATTCAGTACATTGATGCATTACATGAAATATGTAATGCCTCATATTATAACATTTATAATATGTGCAAAAAAATTAGAATTATTATCTATTATTATCTATTACTTTGTATATGTATATATTTATCATTCTTATTCTATAGTAAAACTTTATGAACACATTTTGTAAGTTATTGTGTCATTTTACGACTTATTTCTAAACATTATTTGTAATTCTTTTATGAGCTATACATCTCACTTATAAGTAGTCGTACATCTTTTCCCTATGGGATATACAGTAAAAATGCAAGTTTTAAAAAATATTTTAGGGATGTACCGGATCGTACCGGATATCGGATATCCGGACAAATGTGTCCGGTCGGATATCCGAGAAGGCAATTTCTTCGAATCGGATAACTGACATTTTCCGGATATCCACCGGATTCTGGAAAAATGTTTTTAAAAAAAAGCCTATAGAGAAAAAAATTGTAATTTTCTAACAATGTATAAGATATTATAGCATTATGAATATACATACTCGTACTCTTATTTTTAGAACATTTGTATAATAAAAAATCCACAATTTAATGATATCAAATTTCAACCGGATATATTCCCGGATACTAATGATATCCAACTATCCGGTCGGATAGTAAAAAAATGCCAGATAATCCCGGATACCGGATATTTTCCGGATGCATCCCTAATTTTTTTCATAGTAGAATAGTACAAAGTTTCTATTAGTATTGTTTATTTACTCTAAACATACTGAATAATACTTGATAAATTAAGTTTTTTGTTCGATGTGGCATATATTATCGGGGGGAATTATCCTAATATTATTTTTATAATTTTCAAGAAATTTCACAATTAAAAAGATATCCTACATTTTAAAATACTATCTAATTCAATGATAAAATCTAATTTTAAGTTTCTAGAAATAATGGCAATTATAATAAAAGATTCTTACCTGCTGTACTTTTTCTGAATCTCCCGAAAATAATTTTGGCTTGCTCGCACTGTGCGTCGCGAAACTTAATAGGGAAATTCCTCTCTTTTTGTCGCGCGTTCGCCAACTTTAGAAATGAACGTGTTGGAAAAGTGTCGAATCAGCGAATATATAAAGCTGCGCGATAACGCGATCAATTGGTCCGATCGATCATCTGTGATCTCAGCTGCGATGGATCTCCGATGATTTTGTCAAGTGTCGAAAACGCGTCCTCGCCGGCCACAGAGTCCACCTTCCGTACGTCGACATCCCAAAAGGATTACTACTCTTTCTTCCGTTTCTGTATCGTACTTTCTTGAGAATTTCACGATTTACCCGCGTCTCTCTCGTAAGCTCGGACGTGTTTCTCGATCGAACAACTCCAGCCGTTCTTTCGGAAATACTTGACGCGACGAATCAATTATTTATTAGCCTCCTTTCGATCAGCTGAATCGTTTACACACAGGCGACGCATGTGCGGCGCCCTTCGAACGCCGCAACGATTTCGAATGATATCCTCTGTGCGCACGATAAATGTCTTTCGAGTCGTTCGAATTTTAGAGTCGTCTCAGTCAGAATCTCGATTGTGCGGGAAAAATTATGTACGATTTCTCATTTTATTTTTTTTTTTATTTAATTTATTCATCAGAGGATAGAGTGCTATTTAATAAATAAATGCGTTAGGCTGTTAGGTGTATTGCTATATTGTGGTATAGCAATATTTGATATATATTGGGGAAGCCTATTATTTTAATAAAGTCATCCGCGTCGCGTATTTTTCGTCCATCCTTTATCCCTCAGTCCTCCAAAAAGTTCGTTTCCCGTTTTCTACTGTTCTCTTATTTATGACACTGCACTGCACCTGTTAGTTCCACGAGTCTCCATAGGTCAAACGGAGAACGGACGGCAAAAAAACGCGTCACGGAAACAATTCCGTAACAATCGACGCGAGATTCGAGACTAAACCACTAAACTCGACTGCACTCACTGAACCTGAATAGCTCGTTCGGCTCGCGACGCGGTACTTCGTGCTTCCTCGTGAGGTGCGCGCGCAGAAGAGAGTGAGAGGGGAGAAAGGAACGGCTGAGTTATAGACAGAAATAAATGATCGCACTGCGTGCGAGGGAGAAAGCGAACGAGAGAAATGATCGCACTGAACGGAGATGAAATAACCAAAAGAGAGAAAGAGAGATGACATGCTGCAATTTTAAATCTCAAGAAGAAAAGGCATAGCGAGTTTGAGGCGATCGAAGACCGGTAGGAGTGATAGGTGGAGGAAGTTCTGCATGAAAGCCTCTTTTGAAGAAAAGGAAAGGAAAAGGATAAAGAAAGAAGGAGAAAGAGAATTGTATGTCCTACGCAGAGTGCGTTCTTAACGCTCGCAACGCTCATAGTATCATTTCATCCTTGTTATGTAATAGTGTTATTTGTCAAATATTAAACAAGGATAAATAATGCTCACGAGCGCCAAATGAAACGTACGCATCAAGGTGCGTTCGGGGAGACGGTATCAGCGCTATTTGTGTCAGTCTATTCTTGTTTTACGTCTAATAAACAACGAAGATAGAATGACAGAAGTAGCGTTAATAGCGTCTCCTCGAACGCACCATCAGAGTATGTTTGTGGAATAAAAAAGGATGCGAGAGAAAAGAATACGGCAAAGGTTTGATCGCGTCGTATGCTCCAACATGCTCCAACATGCTCCTATCATAACTTCTACTCACGTACTCTAATGCCCGTGTCACACTACGGATTGTGGACGCGGATCGGATTGGGATTGCGGATCGTTGGATTTGGATTCTTCGTTCACACTACGGACTACGGATTCAATTTGCAACGTATGCTGTATCGCAAATGTCGTGTCGTTAATACAGTGTCGTCGACGTTTGCTGTGTATAGAGTGGCTAACCATTCCGAATTTTGTGGGACGTCCCGATTTTTAATTCTCTATAAACACGTCTCTATGATTAGCATAGATAACCACAACAAACAATGCTTATTCATTCATCATAAATGGGTCACGTGACCAAACTCGATGTTTTATTGGCTTGGATCACGATTACGGATCGCAAAAATAGAGAGCCGTCTATTCTGCAATCTACAATCCGGATCCGAAACTGCCTTGTCTTGATTGGCTGAATTGCGATCCGCGATCCGCAATCCCAATCCGATCCGCGTTCACAATTCGTAGTGTGACACGGGCATAAGGCCGGAATCAGACTACACATTGAAGATTGAGGTTGAAGATTGAAGATTGAAATTTGACCAATAAGGACAAAGAAATTTTAGCTTCTTTCGTATCGATTGGTCAAATTTGAATTTTTCAATCTTCAATCTCAATCTTCAATGCATAGTCTGATTCCGGCTTAATGAGCGAGTAGGTGCTATGGTTGGAGTATATTGGAGCATGTAGGCGCGTGCGACGTGAACAGATCTAAAGAAACAGCTGCGACCGGTACATAAATGCTCAAGATAGGTGATCGCCGATAAAACAGATATGGAGCAATATATAAATGTTGAAAGAGAAGGAAAGAAAAAAACGAAGGTAAGCATCATTCATGTAAGGAAAAAGAAGAGTGAAAGTGAGTGAGTGAGTACTATGAGTGGAGTGTAGAAGAGATGAAGAAGGAAAGATCGCATATCCTCTGTTTCTTGTTCGATTAGCGGACGTCACGCAACTCGCGTGAAAAATGCTGTAGGCTTGAAGTGGGAGAGAATATAGGCGACGGAGACGGAGGAAGACGGAATGAGATTACGTCATCGTTTGAATTATCGTACAATGTCATCACGATGGTCCTTCCACGTATAGGAAAAGGATATTTCTTTCGATCATAAAATTATTTGCTCTTGTTAAAGAATTCCTAATAATTCTCTATCCTTAATTTTATTTCGAAAGTTGAACAAATTCTGGACTTTATTTGTTGCCGATAGACAAAATAATACTTCACGAAACGTTATGTCTCTCTCCTCTCATTCACACAAAAAACACAAACCAATAAGACGTATATAAGCAGTAAAGGAATCTGTCGGTCACCGTAGAGACCGTTGTACGTAACTCAGCACAAATCACACATACAATATTGGCATAAAATTGACCACCAATATTGGCTCGCATTTGTAAAGTAGATGCCTTGCGTTCTGTCAATATCAATATTTAAAATCAATATTGACCCAATATTTCATGCGATTGCAAGAAATGGAAATACGAGTAACTCGTTACTTGTAAATATAACGAAGTTACATTTACAAGCAGAGAAACTTGAGGGAAGACATGAGTGCCTTTTTCTTATAACTGCAAAATGCCCCCACGCACTATTGCCGAAATCAGGAAATTACAAAAGTGAGCAAATTCACTAGTTATTGACCAATTAAATTATAAATATTCTAGTGAATTTGCTTATTTTTGTAATTTTCACCTCTGATTTTGAGATACACGATCGAAAAGTGGATATCAACTACACAACAATATCTATTTTTTTGCGGTACTCCTGATGAAAATAAATCGCAGAAACCGCTGAAATCGTTAAAATAACTAAAATCTGTCAAATTAATAGAGATTTCAACGATTTATTTCCATCAGGAGCACCGCAAAGAATGAATATTGTTGTGTAATTTACATCCACTTCTTCAGAGGGCAGTAGTGTGCAGCGGCATTTTGCAGTTACAGGAAAAGACCTTCATGTCCTTTCTCTAGGCTGCGTTCAGAAACATCACTCGGGTGCCTCTCTGTATTACCTTATCCTTATTTAACATTGGGTGAACAACAAGGATAAAATGATACACAGAGGCATTCGGGTAATGTTTCCGAACGCAGCCTTACAAGTTTTTTTAGTAACTTTCTGGTGTCAGAAATAGTCCATGAATCATATATTAGTTTCTGCGAGAAATCTGAGAGAAGTCATTCCAGCTTTTTCGCTGTTACCGTAAAAAAAAATCACCTAAAGTCACTAGATTTCTAAAGTACCGCAATTGATTTCAGAAATGTTGCGACAAAATGGCCGAAATGCACATAATACACGATTCCAAGCATGGTGGTTGGGTGGTTCGTCTTTTAAACTGTACTTACATGTTCCTTCGTGCACTTTCATGCACTAAACTTCTACAACAAATAAACCCGTATTAAACTGAAGAACACATAAATTAAGCATTCGTACATATTCTTTTGTTCATAAATAAACTAATTACAACTAAAAAAACATTGATTTACGTACTTAACGACTTAATTTTCCCAAATAAAGCACGTTATACAAATACATAAATTCGAAATGGCCGCATTTTGCGACAAAATGGATGCGAGTTTGCGGTACTTTATAGATCCAGTGACTTTAAGGCCGGTATTCATAGTCAGTTCTTATATTCAAGATCGTCTCAAGTTCAGCCTTGAGGTGTTATGAACCAATAAGAGAGCCGCATTAGCGTATTAAGACATTACTTAAGATGATCTTGAAATAAGAACCGACTATGAATACCGGCCTAAAATCATCCTGTCGCCAGTGCATTCATTTTAGGTTTGGGAACTATGTGGCTACATCCATTTTCTGACTCTATCGATAAAATCACAGCACAGAGAACGTCAAAAGTGGATGTGGTTCAAGAGGCTATTTTCCGACGTCGATAAAATCGCAATTTTGCTGCGTGTTTGTATTTCACTCATAAATTATAGATCAAAAATTCTGTATTAATATACATATACATATATCATACGTAAACGTAAAAATATCATACACAATACACACACGCACAGTATTCGTTTACTAAAGTTTTTTTTCGAACGCTTTTAATTCTTTTCAAAAATAGTACAGGAAAAAAAAATTATTTTTTTTCAATCGGAAAATTCGTTCATTTCTTAACTAAAAAATAGTTTTTAAAAACAATTTACCGTTTTTTTTTACCCATTACTAGTTACGACAAGTAGCACAGCACTTACGATTATATGCGCTTTATTAGCGCTTTGTTAGCGCTGTGTGCTACTTGGGAACTAATCTTAAGCAAAAACATCGCGCAACTCTTGTAAATCTAGAATTCTAATTGACTGTACAAACGGTGTTGATAGCAGTTGATAGCAGTTCAACGTTTATAAGTTAAATAAACGTTATATAAATTACATAATACAACGCATATAACGCTGACAGCGTCTCCCAAAACACCCTTGATAAAATACGAACTTTACAAATACTCTGAAGTATTTAATTGATTGTATAATCGGAAGAATTTTATTAATTAATTAAAAAAAAAGTGCTTCGAAGCATTTATGGTCAAGTCGACTATAACCTGTTATTCAACATATGTTATTCAACATATTTAACTAACAACAGCGAGAGTGTACACGTTATTTTTTCTCATTGTGTTTCTAAAAAGAAAATTACAATTTTATTATATATACTTCATGATGAACTCTCTATGGGTATTTTTTTTTACGATATTTGTCTTTACAGTCGTAAAAACTAAAGAAAAGTTGAACAATCGGCCGCTCATCGGTAAGTCTTCGAAAGAATCTTGAACCTACGTAAATCGCTGCGTATTGAATATTTTTACCCTACTAAGGTTAGGTACCTTATCCTACCTACCCAACCTAGGTTGATGCAAATAAAATGACGTTTTTCTGTATTAGTATTAAGAGCAGCCGTAAGTCCGGATCTACAATAGGTGTTTTAAGCCTTAAGCCATAAGAAATTGATCAATTACAATCAAATCCGAGGAGAATAATCGACTGTGATTCGCCCATTTCTTATGGCTTAAGGCTTAAAACCTTATTGTAGATCCGGGGTAAGGCCCATGGTGGAAGGATTAATGGGTAAGGCCGGAATCAGACTAGGCATTAAAGATTGAGATTGAAGATTGAAAGATTGAAATTTGACCAATCAAAACAATAGGAACTAAAATTCCTTTGCCCTCATTGGTCAAATTTCAATTTTCAATTTTCGATCTCAATCTTCAATGCGTAGTCTGATTCCGGCCTAACTTCATTAAAAAATGAACAAAATTTAAATTTAAAAAAGGATTTTAAAGCTTGAAAACTTTACTTCCAAAAACTTACTATATTTTCTGAGTTTATGTTGAGTTTGGTTGTTTTTACATATAGAAAACTACCAGCTGAAAAAAATGAAAAATTTTCTTCTCACTTCGTAGGTCTGTTATGTGCCCTAAAAAAATTAAAAAAATTTTCAACTATCTATCATGAAAGCTTGAATAAGTTTTCCCTTATATAAAATCGTTTTTTAATGTGTGTTGCTACGATTTTTTGTTCCTCCGAGTTACTTGCGAATTAAGTAAAAGGAGCATTCTGACTTTGATTGCTCATAACTCCGTTAAAAATCATTATATCCTGATAAAAAAAATATAGATTCTTGAAGCTGAAATTTTTACTCTATCGAATGGTAACATAATCGTTAACTTTTTAAAAATATTGTAAAATATATTGAAAAAGCAAAACCATCATTCTATAATATGGAAAATCATCATTTCATTCGCATCAACCTAATACATACTGCGATTACATTTTCATATTATATGGCGCATGCATTTTCGGTCTTTCTCGCTACAGTAAAGTGCACGAAATATGAACTTTAACATTTTGAAGTAAATAAAAAAGTGCAATGAAATATTCGCTAAAAAAACGTATGTTAAAAAGACCCTACTCTGCTCTTGTTATATGTGAAAAGTTGTAAACTTGTGGAATCGTTCATGGGTTATTACAACTTTCCACGTGAACTGCGGTTCCACATATTAGTTTCAAAGTTTACAAGCAAAGCGAGATTTAATTTAAAAAAAAATTGACTTTGGTTTTACGAGGGAAGGGGGGAGCGGGAACCTTTCGCACATATATGTACTTAGTGATTGCGAAGGGTTCAGCCTCCCTCTCCTCTCTTCCCACTCCTCGCTTGCAGAGCGAATAAGCATGTGATTAATTCTTGTATATTCATGATAATCTCTACCTGTGGATACAACCAATCATGTTTAATTGTTCGGCAAGCTGTTTTATCGATTTAAACTTATCCAATGTTTCACCAAAATACCACCAAAATGGTTTATCTCAATATTTATTTATAATTTAGTAATGCAACAAACTTCATATAACATTAAAGATAATTCGATTTATAATTGATTTAAGCCAAATTAATAAAAAATCGCTCGATTGACGATTGATTCGAGAAGACTTAATCGAAAGTCGTTTAATTTACAATTGATATGAGCAAATTCAATTAAAGATAATTTGATTAACGATTGATTTAAGGGAGTATTTTCTTTTGTGTGTGGCTTCAGAAATGATTTTTTTTCATTTTTAACTCTAAACTTTCAGAATATATTTTCAAATATTTTGAGAACTCGAATTGCCCAAAGCTCATCTAGGTAACCGATTTTTCTCGAAACAGTTTTCCAAAGTGATTGTTATAGCAATAATTTGTGCATGTGTTCCTTTAAGGTATTCTGACGCAGGAAATAAGTTATAACTTAAATGGAACGTATCCTAATCGGTATCATAGCTACATCGCTGCATCGTATGTGAAATTTGTGGAAGGTGCCGGCGCTCGACCAGTACCGATTTGGTAATCACCAAAATTTTTGTCATTATATTCGTTGAACTGAATAAATGATCTTCCTTATGTAACACAATTTTTTAAAAAATCTACTTCTTTATTAATGTTATATTTTGGATCATGCCTCACTCTAGGAAAAATCCTGCGCCCTTGAAAGAAGTTGATACACATATATACATATGTATGGTTATGCCCGGTGAATATTGAACTTGCAGTTTTGCATTTCCGCGGTTCGTTGCCATGCCGAAATGCAAGGCTTAAGCATGATAGCAATTTTGCATTTCTGCGAGCTCGATCGTTGCTATGCCGAAATGTAAGACTCACAAGTCACAATCAGTGGTAGCTTTCGGGCTACAACAGTATTTACTTATTGATAAATTAAAACTTTGATTTATATTTTTATATTTAATTGTAAAAACTGAACATTTTGCTTCACTAGATTATTATCGAGAATATTCACAAAATGACTACAATACTAATAGATTTAGGTACTCTTCATAAAAAAACAAAATAAAAGAAATTTGTATTATTTGCTTAAATATTGCTTTGAAAAAATTCTGGGAAAAACTGCAAGTTACTTCGTTCTAACAGTAAACTACCTATGATTCTAGGCATTTACCATTTATTACTAATGAATAAATTTATTACTAATGAATAAATACCTATAGTTACTCCAATAATAAGCTATTTATGTTTCTAATATAATACTAATGAACAATAATGTCCCATAATGTCATTAACTGAATAATTATAGTTCTTAATTGTTCCTTTTTATACGGAGCTGTAGATAAGGCCCGGTTCCACAATTCATAATTAATTCTTAAGGTTCAACTTATTCTTCATCTCTTTCCAATACTAGAATTTTATAATTACGTTATAAATAAAAAGAAAAAAAAAACGAAGTTAAGTTATTAAAATAAAACTAACAAATTGAAAAAGAAACTGTAACAGTAACTTCATTACAAATAATGAGCCGATTACTTTTCCGAACCTTATCCGTAGCTATAGAAAATATCTTGATACATTATTTGGTTTAATAATTATAATAATTATATAATAATAGATTTAAGTATCATAATTTTGTATAGGATTGGTGAGAACAGATCGTACTATGAGGATATCTTGAGCAAAGTCAACGGGTATATAATATTCTACTACTTTTAAAACGCTGTTAAGTACGTATAATTGTCGCAATATTTTTTTCTATATAGGGTTCTCTGGCCGGGAGGGTCGACGTATTTCTTTCAGAAGGCAGGATATGCTGATGCAGGTGCCAAGATTTACAGGTAATTATAAAAGGGCAATGATAATGCACTGAAAGTGACTTCAATCATTCGGATATATGTATATTTTTTTGTTTGTTGATAGAATTGCGAAGAGAATCAACGAAGAAGGCAAGTACTTCCCAATATTCAGTATCTGCCTTGGCTTCGAACTCTTGACATATGTCGCTGCGAATCGCGTCGAGCACAGAACGTCATGTTCCAGTAACAATCAGCCTCTTCCACTAGAATTTACACATGGTAAATACTTTTTCCAATAACTTTCTACTTTTGTTGACAAGTCAAGTTTGTTGAGAATACGCGAGAACGCGAGAGCGTTCATCGTGTGGGTTATGTACCGCATTCGTAAACGTCTACTTACCTACATTGAATTTTTTGCATTGATGGTTTTACGTTTTGGCTCCAGAGCTCAAATTGGACAGGCCTAGTCTATATTATCGCTGAGGATGAGCCAAAATGTCTGTTCTGAAAAAACTATGTTTAATAAATTAAAATAATTAATATAAAATAATAATTGCGCTTTCAAGTATCACGTCGTACTCTCATTGCCTATGTTTCATTTGTTTTTAGAATATTGAGTAAAATCTATGTGTACGCGCGTGCGTGTGTAATGATATGAAATAATAATAAATTATAAAACAATTAATAATACAAAATGTAATTAATAATAGTCAATAATTTACTTTAGATGTAAAAGAACATTTCGGATATTGTTTTTACAAAAAAAAAAAAACAAAAAGAAAACTAGAAGCCAAGACAATACGCTAAAACCATAATATATCCATATATAATATGTCCCAATTATTCTGGATAACTATTTTCAGATTAACGAAAGTTGCTTTCACGTTCGAACCTGTTTCTTTAAGAAATGTAAACTTTTTTCAGATTTTAGAGAAAGCAAGTTGTTTAAGAACGCACCACCAAATGTCTTGAGGATTTTGGCTGAGCAGAATGTCACGGCGAATTATCATCACCTTTGCGTCACGAAGAAGGTGTTTTCCTTAGAAATTATTTTGAGAGTGCAATAGTTGAGAATGCAAATTAAAAAAAAAAACAATTATATGTGTATATATAACATAAATTATAAATTATATAAAGGATTATAATATAATATTAAGTGTAAATATGGTGCTTTTCTATGCTTTAGGATTTACGCAGTGTCAATTTAACTGATGAATTTCACGTATTGTCATTCAATCATGATAAAAACGGCTTGAAATTCATTTCCACCTTGGAACATAGACAGTTCCCGTTCTACGGATTGCAGTTCCACCCGGAAAAGAACCTTTACGAATGGGTGACCGGGAAGAAAATTCCTCACGGAATCAATGCTACTATAGTATCTCAATATTTCGCCAATTTTTTCGTTAACGAAGGTAAGTAAAAATACTAACAATCAACATTGTCAATTTTTGTTTCGCGTGAAAAAGAGTGAAATTGATTTTCTTTTTACAGTTCGTAAAAATTTGAACGAATTTCGGACGAAACAAGATGAGCAACAGAGTCTGATCTACAACTATCCTGTTACTTACACAGCGCTGCAGAATTCGTCTTTCCAGCAGTGTTACATGTTTACAAAAAGCGATCGCAATAAGTTCTTTACGTAAGATGCAACGTTAATTTTGATATGTAAAATATAACATTAATTCTTAAAATTGGAAACAAAAACGTCGCACATTTTTTCCATGTACACAAACGTCTTATTCTCTTTATCACGTTGTACAATACTTTTTAAATAGATTCGATGATCTTTTACTTGTCTGGACGTGTTAGATGAAAATAAAATTTAATTATTATAATTTAACGAGATATCAAGTGTCAGTATGATTAGACAGCACTGGGGAACACAAAAACAAAAGAAAATTGGTACGCGCAATTTCCACATTTAACATAACACCAGTGTATATTGTGTCACAACTGGGATACATAATATTACAATGGTGCATAATAAAATTCTATACATATTTTCGTTCTATCTAAAGTAAATAATATTTTTTTCAATCTTTTTTTTCCGTCACCACGTTTTTCTCGCTCTGAGTCGAAGCGCGAGCTATTGCTACATTCGTGCATTGCAGACGCATGTGTTGCACTGCGACTCTAGGTGCGATGTCGCGAAAAGACGGCAAAGAATAATGATGCCCAAAACACCGCCAATAACGCCGACATCGTGTACGCGTGAGCTCGCTTCGACCCAAAACGTCGAACGCTTAGATCTTGACTGCTTGCCATTAATCTTCATCTTTATCTTTAAACAAGCACGAAACTAAACCTCTTAAAAGCATGAATCAACTCTTAGTTTTTATCCTTGTAACGTATGATAGTTATCATTATTAATAATCATAATAATTCATATAAACATTATTTCTATTTATTCCTTGTTACATGTTCTTCTTAGCAATGTGTGGGATGTATAGACCAAAGAAATTGCTTCCTCTTTCTCTATCTTTTCTTTTCTCTTTACACGTGTGTGTTTCGTCGGGAAGTATGTTTTCTGTCTTTGAGGAAAAAATGAATCTGGTTGTTTTTCCCCGGCGATTCACTTGTGTATGTTACAGAGTATATATACATAATGTATATAAGCACGAAAGCAGTATATATATTATACATATATATTTGTCCATCCCAAAGTAGATAAGTTCGCGATGATTCGCGTGTTCTCTTTTTCTTTTTTTCTATACTTATTTATTATCGCCCTCACCTCTTTTACTTTTTTTTTTCTCGAGAATATAACAAAGGTCTATGCATAATGTAGGTAAATTCCGCATGGTATTTCATGTATAAGATGACCCTGCAATACACTGAAATTTTTCTGTCGTTACTTTAAATAGTACATATGATATCTCTAACTGTATTTCTCAATGCTTATTTTATATATATATATATATATATATATTCATTATATATAATATGTATCTAGATTTCTACCGACTTGCGAACAACTTTCGCCGCACGCGGGTCACGCGTGACGCACACGCGTTAATAAATTTGTCATCCTCTTTATATAATGCCTATTTGATAGGTACTATTAATATTATACATAATTATATATTTAACGTAAACGCGACGGCGAGATGATCGGATGCGACTTTCTGTTTGTTCTTATATCGCTTTGCGTGACCGAATCTGATTGAAATTTGTGAGATTCGGTACACACACGCATAATCATTCATCACGCTGCCACACTTATTTATCTCTCTTTACTTTAATCTTAACGGTAAATACGAAATATATGGCCTTACAGGATGATTGCTACAGTGATAAGTGTTCCTCTCTTTTCGTGAAAGATGATAGAAAAAGAATTATTTAAAAATAATTAAATTTAATAACGAAACTTAAAACGTGAAAAATATATATTCTCGGTAACGCGTGAAATTCGACTTGCGTACATCAATTTTATCTTTTTATTTATCTGCAAGTTTACCGGGGGGATCCGGTATCAGTGGTATTCGTTTGCAATTGTTTATAACTCCTTAAACAAAATGCGGCTGAGCCATATTGCACTCGATTGTAATAACTAAAACTAAAAATCATAATGAAATAACGCTTAAGTAAAGTTGGACACGTAAGCATTCATATAATAAGGAGCAAAAAGTTCTGGAACGGCTGAATATCTCGGAAAGTATTCATTTTTTAGAAAAATGTTTCAGACAAAAGTTGTAGGGTTTAAAAAGATCTATTTACTAATTTTATCAGTTTGATCTCAGATGGCATCGCCAAGATCAAGTCAAGGTCAATTTTTTAAATGGAAACCCTCACTTTTAAATGTTCAGAGTCATGATCTTAACAAATAAAACATTTGTCAAAATCAAGGCCTTTGAAGGTTCTTTCTCTTATTAGAAACAACCTCTAAAGGCCTTGATTTTTACATATGACGATACATATATCAAGAACATGACCTTGAACTACATTTGAAAAGTTTTAACTATTAGTTTGACATCTTAGATAATGCTAATACCGGTGATACTGTAACTCTCAAGCCTTATAACTTAAAAAGTGCTTAATGAAAGAATATTTTGTTATTTCAAAAAGCTCTCAAGATAAACTAAAGAATTGTAATGAAAAAATGCATACTTTCCAAAATATTTATATTCCGTTCTAGAGCTTTTGCCCCTCACTGCATATCGCATTTTCAAGTCAAAATGCACTTTTTCAAAATAGAACAATCTTTTTTGCTGCTTTGTCCGAATATTATAATTTCACAATACTTTAATAATAGTAAGATCTATACGCTTGCTATTTTCTTATACACCAATATATTTAGACAATAAACATTAGTTTAGAATTTCAGAATCGTACGAATGAATGTATAATAATATAAGTTTTTTTCTTGTGAGAAATAAACTTCCAAAACATTTTAGCACTGATTACTATAACCACAATCAAGCAGTCACAGCATGTCAGATGCATATTCATCATTTCTTTGTTATTAATATTTTTTATATAAGAATTGTATATCTGTGTAAATATAAAAATAAAACTTACAATTCGAAATACCACTCCGGATCGAATGAAAGACTTATGAAAGCAACAATACACTTTCATACAAAAATTACACGGAAGTCAATTAATGCAACTAACAATGTACTTTTAAAGACTGATTAAAGACAGACAATTCATATAATCAACGTTCACTCGGCTACGAAAATTTAGGTAACTAATTTATAAGGTCATATTAATTTTATAATCTACAATATAATCTTCTGATGTTTCATAAATACATTTCCATACATATCCATGTGGATAACTATGAAATAGAAATGCAATTTCTAGTATCATATTATCAGCAGGGCTGGGTAATCATTTAAAATGCCAAATATAAAATACTTAAAAAATGTAATTAAAATGCAAAACGTTTTTCAAATCCACTTTATATGTAAAACGGATAAATAGATATTTTAAATCATTTTCATATACAAAATGGTTTTCTCTACATACATTTTAATATACATTTTTTTCAGTATTTTACATTTAGCATTTTTAATAGAATTACATTTTAAATGGTATTTTAAATGCAAAAATACCCAGCCCTGATTATCAGAACAAAAATGCATTATTTATAAATTGCAAATTCAATAGAGTAAAAATAAACAATATTTATACTCTTCAATTATAAAAAATTATCCAAAACTAGCAGTCTTTAATAGTAATTTGTTAGTATTAATGTAAAGCAATGGTATGACTATAATTATGGCTAAACTTCACTACATTCGCCTTTGCATGAATAACCGTTTACATGTTCCAATATCGACTAAAATAGATTTACAAATAATGATTTACTAATTCGAAGACATATTTTCGCAGGAAAATACATATTCAAAGTCATTACTTAAACTCGCAAATATATTTTGCCCGACACCACTATACGTGTCACCGAAAACATTAATTGGCGAATGCATAGACACACTTCTCACATGAAAATAACGTATAAACATAATCCGAGACATCATTGACATTATATAATTAGTGCCTCTTTTAAAATTATAAGGTTATTAAAATATAACGAAGAATTATTACAAGTTCCTCACATAATTCTGGTATACTAATACTCCCTCTTGCACAAATTTGAAACAAATAATTATATATGTTCGTTACCACAATCGACTTACCAAGTACAAGCATAAACGAAGCAAAACCAAACTTTGGATAATAATCGCCGTTGTCACAAAGAACAGTCATCAACGTTCTAATGCGTATTTTAAGCGCATATCACGAGCAATCTACATCGTCCTGAACAAAGTTCACTGCGAATTTTACGAAACAAAGATGGTGTCGCAGTTTTTTCCATGACATCACGAGCAGCACGTGAAAAGATCTCGTCGAGTTAAATGGCGCATAATAAATCCATTCATTGTAATTCAGGTCCTTAAGAAAATGATGAATGGCGCACAATCTTCACATTTCTTCGATGCAATCATATATTAAGTATACACAGCATGTATCATCTTCAAATGCTTCCTTTTTTCTCGTTTCTTCTTATTTCTAATTTTTTTTTCGTCTGTTTTTTCTCTTTCTTCTCCCCCCCTCCCCCTCTCTCATCTTATATGATCTAATACGATGTTAATACACCGGGCGGTGTCGGCACAACCACCGTGTGTTGCGGCACCACAGGCGGTGCCGGCGGTGCTAAGGGATGCCCGACTAGAACTGCCGCCGCTGCCGGTATCGGCAGTACACCGGATTGCGGTATAGCTGATGGTGTGCTAACTTGTGTCGGCGGGCCTTCAGCCGCGTGCTTGCGCAAATGTCGTAGCATATTGCCCTTCTCAACAAAGGTCTTCCCACAATCCGGACAACTGTGCGGCCGTTCGTCTGAATGCGAGCGCCGATGCGAGACCAAGTGTCCTTTGCACATGAAATCTTTAGGGCACAGATCGCAGCGAAATGGTCTCTCGGCATTGCTGCCCTTGTTGTGCGAGCGCATATGAAAGAGCAGATTGCCCTTCAGTGGAAAACTCTTGCCACATTCTGTGCACACGAATGGACGTTCACCAGTATGGCAACGCATATGATTCACGAGATGTTCCTGTAACAGTGAATTAAGAAAAGGACATGACGAATGTTATCTATCTACGATTACAGAGATGAGAGAGAGAGAGAGAGAGAGAGAGAGAGAGAGAGAGAGAGAGAAGCGATTAAGACCTACTTTATGTAAAATATTACACAAAAAACTATATTATACAAAAATATCGATATTTTGTTTTTAATAAGTATTATAAGACGGAATTAACTTTCTCTCTTTAAAAAAGAAGCCAACGTACCTTTCTTGTGAATGGTTTAGAGCACACGTTGCAACAGTGGGAGGAATCTCCGGTATGTTGACGGAGATGGTTATTTAGATGTTCTTTCCTAGTGAACGTCCTTTGGCAAAACTCACACCTATGTGGAGATTCGCCAGTGTGGATGCGCACATGATTCGTTAAATGCTCCTTACGAGTAAATGACTTGGAGCAGAAGTGGCATCGGTGTGGCGATTCGCCTGTGTGTTGACGCACGTGATTGGTCAAATGTTCCTTCCGCGTGAAGGATTTGGTGCAATACTGGCACTTGTGCGGTGACTCACCCGTGTGCTGCCTGACGTGGTTCACCAGGTGATCCTTCCGCGTAAATGCTTTCGGACAGTACGAACAGCGGAAGGGCGTCTCCCCTGTACATATTTTACAAGCGAATTCGCAATGTTTGAGAAATATTCGTCACTCAGAACTCAGTGGAGTTATCCTGCACAAGACGAGTTTTGCCTGACGCAACGCACAGAGAAGGCACAATATCAAATGGGACAGAAATCGGACAAAAATTTCAATATAGCTCAAAAAGTGAAAAATAAATTTACGTCTTAAATACATAAAATATATATTTTTGTATATCGAAGTTAATATATATTCGTTCTAAAACTGGATAATGAAGATTATCTATGCAAAGTTAAAAAGTTGTTTGTATCATTCTCTTTAAACATTTTAATAAATTAAAAATAAATTCCGGACTTTAATCTAGCATCAACATAATTGTTTAAGATTGCTGTATAGTATCGCAAAAATTATCGTATCTATTATTACAACTCACGGGAAAAATTTTGTGTTATTTTACATTCGGTATTATGCCGTGTTTTTACGTTACATCGAAGAAAAATCAGCTCGTACAGTAATATACTACTAGTGTACTCTGGATATAACACTCTAATTTTGTATATCAAATACTGAAATACTATTACACTACTATGACTTTAAGCATGAAACTCTATCTCGCGATTTATTAAAAGCAAGTACGTGTCAATTTCTCTCTAGAATCTCACATCTATAATCTAATTGACATTCTATATTAAGTATATTTGAGCTAAAACGAAGTTCGAGACTTGTGCCACCCATGATAATGAGACAAAGTTACAAGCTATGGAATTATTTACAAGTCTCCGACGGTATGAGATACAAAATTCGTTTGGCAACTTGTCGGGTATGCGGAATGAAAGCTATGAACATTTATAAATGAGTACTGTTCAAGTTAATAGGAGACATAGTAATGAGAGCGGTGTATTAGGCAGAACTGTAGCAAATGTTCTTGGGGATTTCGGTAATGAAGTAGAGTTTTGTGGTACTCGGTTAGGTATAAATATGGTGTACAACGATGAGAGACGCGTGGCAACTGAGAATGAGTGAGTGAAACTTTATGGCGATCCCGTCTAAATGAAAATCAATTTTCATGCAAGTGTCCAATCCTCAGCTGAATGCGCTAACGTACACATACAGGGTGTCCCACTTCTAGTGGATCAATCGTTAACGATACTATCTTTTAAGTAAAGACGACAGTTCTGATATTCAAATAAACGTCGAAACTCTCGAGTTACAAGCGAATAAGAATAAAGGGTATTTTCTGTAATGCAAATTTTAGAATCTCAAATAAATAATTTCGCTTTTGTTACATTTGATATAATAATTGATTTAATTTTGAGTGGTAATTGTCACTACCTAAATTTAGTTACGTTTTTACTTCAAAGACGCGTAACAATCCTATTCAATACTTTAT